CCCCCCGAGCCCGAAACAAAAACAAATGTTTTCACGACGCCAAGCGGTCTGGGCCTGTGGTGGTTGTGGGAACCATGGCTGGGGGACGTGTGCGCCCTGCGCGGCCTGCGAGATCTTGTGGCGCCCGTGCGACACGCAGGACCTGTGGAGCCTGTGGGGCCTGCTGGGCAGGCAGAACGGCGGGTTCCTTGGTACTTGTGCGACCTGTGGGAACTGTGGAATTGCGCGACCACTGGGAACTGTGGGGCTTTTTGAAACCATTGGGGCCCTTCGTTACCACAATTAGAACCCTCTAGCGCGACGCAACCAGGAACAACCACATTCCAGGATGAAAAGACTTCTCGGAGGGATAGGTGGACGAGGAGCCGTTGGACGAATGATCAAAAATGCCGGCAGACTCGGAGCTGTTGGACTCGTCCTGCTCCTCCTCATCAGCCTCTCAGAAGTCTCTCAGAAGCCTCTCAGAAGCTTCTGAGAAACCTCGCAGAAGCCTCGCAGAAACCTCGCAGAAACCTCGCAGAAACCTCGCAGAAGCCTCGCAGAAGCCTCGCAGAGGCCTCGCAGAAGCTTCGCAGAAACCTCGCAGAAGCCTTTCAGAAGCCTCGCATGAGCCTCGCTGAAGCCTCGCATAAGCCTTTTCAGAAGCCTCGCAAAAGCCTTTTTTGTTTATATATATATATATAGATATTATGTGTATTATTATTATTCATATTATTATTATTATTATTATTATTCGTATTAGTATTAGTATTCATACTATTTCTATTATTCTGATTATTTTTATTGTTATTATTATTATTATTAATCGGAAGCCTCTCAGAAGCCTCGCAGAAGCCTCCCAAGCTTCAGAGAAGCCTTTCAGAGGTCTCAGAGGAGCCTCAGAAGCTTCAGATAAGCCTTTCAGAGGCCTCTCAGAAGCCTCAGAGAAGCCTTTTTTTCAGAGGCCTCTCAGAAGCTTTTCAGAGGCCTCTCAGAAGCCTCAGGGAAGCCTCGCAGAGGCCTCAGAGAAGCCTTTCAGAGGCCTCTCAGAAGCCTTAGAGAAGCCTTTCAGAGGCCTCTCAGAAGCCTCAGAGAAGCCTCGCAGAGGCCTCAGAGAAGCTTTTCAGAGGCCCCTCAGAAGCTTCAAAGAAGCCTTTTCAGAAGCCTCGCAGAAGCCTCGCAGAGGCCTCAGAGAAGCCTCAGAGAAGCCTCGCAGAGGCTTCGGAGAAGCCTTTCAGTGGCCTCTCCAGAGTCGGGGATGGACAGACCTCCCTTTAGTAAAACGTGGTTTAGTGAAAACGACCTGAGGCCCAAACCTGGCGGGCGCGAGCCTGGAAAATAACGGCCGCGGTGCCCTCTCGAGAACCGAAAAAGGACAATTCACTAATCGACGTGTCACTGTTGGGGGTTCTGTCCACCCCCGACAGAAGCCTCGCAGAGGCCTTTCAGAAGCTTCGCAGAGGCCTCGCAGAGGCCTCTCAGAAGCCTCGCAGAGGCTTCGCAAAGGCCTCTCAGAAGCTTCGCAGAGGCCCCGCGGAGGCCTCGCAGAGGCCTTTTCAAAGGCCTTTTCAGAGGCCTGGCAGAGGCCTCTCAGAAGCCTCGCAGAGGCTCCGCAGAGACCTCAGAGAAGCCTTTCAGAGGCCTCGCAGAGGCCTCGCGGAGGCCTCTCAGAAGCCTCGCAAATTCTTCGCAAAGGCCTCGCAGAAGCCTCGAAGAGTCTTCGCAGAGGCCTCAAAAAAGCCTTTCAGAGGCCTCAGCAGGAGCTCTTGGATCGGTTGCAATCCGGTGCTCTCCTGGCAGATTTGTATAGGAATCCTTTAGGTTGCGATCAATCCGTTTCTAGTGGTTGCAATCAGACCGAAATGGTTTACGATCGGTCCGAAATGGTTGTGATCGGTCTTATTGCCCCCCCCTCCGGAAAACCGTGGGGGGTCACTACCGGATCGAACCCCCCCGCCTCTGGAAAACGGGGGGGGGTCACTGGGTCACTACGGGTTCGAACCCCTCCCCCCCCCCCAGAAAACCAGAAGGGGGTCACTACTGGTTCGAACCCCTCCCCCCCCCCTCCAGCAGAAAACGGGGGGGGGTCACTTCCGGTTCGAACCCCCCCCCGTCCAGAAAACCGGGGGGGTCACTACCGGTTCGAACCCCTCCCCCCCCGCACGCTCACCGCCAGCAAACGACTCCCGGGTCCCCACCACCGTCCGCACCACATCCCCCACTGCTGTCCCCAGCACCACTGTCCTCACCACCGCTGTCCCCACTGTTCCCACCACCGTCCCCACTGTCCCCACCAGTGCCCCCACCACTGTCGCACTTCCCCCACGGCCCCCACGGCCCCAACCAGTGTCCCACTGTCCCCACTGTCCCACTGTCCCCGCCGCTGTCCCACTGAGCTGTCCCACTGTTCCCACTGTCCCCACCGTCCCGTCCTCGCCACCGCCCTCACCACTGTCCCCATCACCACTGTGCCCTCCACTGTCCCACTGTTTCCACCACATTCCCATTGTCCCCACACCACTGTCCCCATCACCACCGCCCCCACCACTGTCCCACTGTCCCCACTCTTCCCACCATTGTCCCCGCTGTCCGCACCAGTGCCCCCACCAGTGTCTCACTGTCCCCACTCTCCCCGCCATTGTCCCACCACGGTCCCGCTCTCCCCACGTTCCCCACGGTCCCCACCACTGTCCCACTGTCCCCACTGTGCTCACCACTGTCCCACTGTCCCCGCCGCTGTCCCACTGTGCTGTCCCACCGTCCCCACTGTCCCCATCACTGTGCCACTGTCCCCACTGCCCCCACCACTTTCCCCACTGTACTACTGTCCCACCACTGTCCTCACCACCGCCTTCACCGCTGTTCCCACCACTACCGTCCCCACCACTGTCCCACTGTCCCCACCACTGTCCCGCTGTCCCCTCACCACTGTCCCCACCACTGTCCCCACCACTGTCCCACTCTCCCCGCGCCACTGTCCCCACCACCACCGTTCCCACCACTGTCCCAGCATCCCCACCATTGTCCAACTGTCCCGAGGAGCGGGAATCGTTTGCCGGCGGCGAAGGGGGGGTGTTCGAACCGAATGACCCCCCGGTTTTCGAGGGGGGGTGAAGAGGGGTTCGAACCGGAAGTGACCCCCGGGCCGGCGGGGGGGGAGGGGTTCGAAGCGGTAGTGACCCCCCCCCCCCGCTGGCTTTCGAGGGGGGGGGGGACGGGTTGGGACCCCCCAGTGACCCCCCCAGTTTTCCGCCAGCAGCGGTAGAACACGCTCTTTCCTTACTAGCCTTAGCATCCTATACCTCAAGACCCCATCTTTGAACCACTGAGTTTGTTCCCCAAGAGACAGACCCCAAAAGGTGGTCAACATTGGGCGCCCGGTCTGATCCTGGCGCCGCCGCCGCCGCAGCGTCGTGGCGGCGCGAACGCGCAGGCCCTGACCCTCGTCCCTGCCGCCGCCCTGACCCTATAGGCGTCGGTCGCGGGGCATCAGCAGCAGTGCGTAGTTATCTCGATGCGCATTTCGAATGTTGTGCTCTTCACTGGTGCGCGCAAGGCCCATTCCGGCCGCGGACGACAGGGTCCTCTGGTGCCACGCTGGCACCAGGAGGAGGAAGGAGGTGGAAGAGGAAGGAGGATGAGGAAAGAAGGAGGAAGGAGTTGAAGAGCTGGGGCGCCAGAGAAGGGCGGCAGGTCTAACAGGAGCCTCACCCTTGCGAGGAACACGCGCAGAAAGCTAGCACGACGTGTCATCACAGTGTGCATCAAAAGTCGGACAGAGCAGCACAAATCATCAACGCCATGAGACTGCTGGACCGAATGTGAGGTGGGCGCTCAGGGCGCCGACGGCACAACATGCCGAACCACATGGTTTTGTCGTGCGTCGCGCGTCTTTAGTCATCGGCTGAGACGCCGAGATGCAGGATAGGCCAACGACAAATGCCCTCCGTGCACAGCAACAGTGGCTGATGGCTTGGCCGGGAACTCGCGCCCTAAACCGTGGATGCATATCTGGGCAGGCGCCACGAAACATCGCAAGGAGAGGCAACACAAAGCTGGTGGCCACCCTGGCAGCCTAGCTGGCACACCTGCTGCCCAACCGAAATTGAGCCAAAGTGACTGCGCACTTGCAGGAGGGGGAGGAGGATGAGGATCATGATGGTAGGATTAGGTCGGGCATGCCCCCCTACAGGCGGATTTTGGGAGAACATTCAAAATAGTGAACAAATTATCAAACATAGTCAAAAATAATAAAAACAAGTCCCCAGACTATTTTTCCCTACCTAGGCTCTGCCTAGAGGGTTCTTACTCTCTTAGCTTAAAGGGGCCGGGCAGTGTAACACGCCCCGGGCGGTTCCCCCGGTCCCCGCCCCGCGGTTCCCCCAGTCGCGCCCCCTGGGTTCCCCTAGCTTAGCTTAGCTTAGCTTAGCTTAGCTTAACTTACCTGAGCTTAGCATAACTTAGCTTAGCTTAGCATAGCATAGCTTATCTCATCTTAGCTTAGCTTAGCCTAGCTTAGCTTACCTGATCTTAGCTGACCTTAGCTTAACTTAGCCCAGCTTATCTTAACTAAACGTTGCTTATCTCATCTCAGCTTAGTTAAGCTAAGCTCAGCTTAGTTTAGCTTAGCTTAGTTTAGCTTAGCCTAGCCTAGCTTAGCTTAGCGTAGCTTGGCTTAGCCTAGCTTAACTTAGCTGAGCTTATCGCATAGTAGCTTAGCTCAGCTTAGCTTACAGCAGTTTAGCCTAGCTTAACCTAGCTTAGCTTAGCTTAGCTTAGCCTAGCTTAGCTTAGCTTATCTCAGCTTAGCTTAGCTTAGCTCAATTATCTTAGCTTAGCTTAGCTTAGCTTATGCTGCTTTCCTAGGGGCTCCAACTCCTAGGTAGGGTCGCGCTGGGATAATTTTGATATTTTTTTTGAAAATTCCTCCTGTGGAGGGACGTTCCCGACTTAATGGTAGGAGGGAGGGACGATGAGGGAGGATGCGTGAGAGGCTCTGTCGCGACCGGGACGCGGAGCTCCTCCTGGTCGAACCCCCAAGGTACGACCTCCTCGTCCGCGTCGTCCTCCTGTGGGGACTTTTTCTGTTTCTTTGTTTCCTCTCTCTCTCTCTCGTTCTTTTGGGCCCCAGGGGTAAAGGAGGAGGA